TTCTTCAAAAAAAAAAAAGAATATATTTATTCCAATAGTCAGTCCCTAAAACAATTATAGTGAAATTGTCGATTATATAATTACGACCTTTTGTGTACTTACTTAATCTGAATAAATTATAATTTCTTTTTTTCTTTGTAAATAAAGTAATCACAATTTCGTCAGTAAAAAAACTCTTATCGTTCTAATTTACTTTTTATAAATCCATTGCAATTATCAGTTAATTATATTTCTCTTTGTGTTTAGAACTGAATAAAGTAAAATTTATTTATAACAAATAGTTTTTCAAAAATCAATGCTAATGTTTCCTATCAATTTAAACGATCAAAAATCCGAATCGTAGTGCAATGACAATTGTTTATCAGCAAATTAGTATTTTTATGTGCCGAATTATTTTAGTTACTTAATTACGTGAATTATGAGTAGTATCCTACAACTAGTTTTTAAAACGATATATAATTAGAAACTGGAAACACCAGATCTCTCAATACAGCAGATATTATGTTATTAAAATGATTTTTCTTCTTCAATATTAAATTATTGTTTATATACACTATTTGAAGCAATATAAAATAAAAATTGTATAATAAAAAATGCACAATTATGGACTTCGTACTAAAATAGCAAATACTGACTCAGCTCTTAGCTAATTTGAAATAACCTTGAAAAGATACCGATAAGACAACGTTTACAGTAATAATTAAATTATCAATAGTAAAAATAATATCGCAATATCAGTACGCCCAGCACTTTCAAATTAATGTAATTCTGCTTATTGTTCGTCTTACGAGTTGTTACGTTGCAAACTTCATAGTCAATAGCGGCTAATGAACTTGATGTAAAAAAAGGCGTGAATCAGTGAGGTATTTGTTTGTTATTAAGAAAACAATTACGGCGCAATGGCTGTGGCTAGTATTATTGTTTGTGGCGTTTATATTTTTATTGGGTTCTTTGCGTTTTTAGTGTTTTTAATACTCGAGAATTTTCCTTCTGCACTTTGGGGTTTAGCAACAGGTAAATATAGCGCAAGATCGTATGCGATACGTTGCGGTGCAGAACCTCTTATTAACATTTTGTATGGGGGCCTTGCAGTGAATGTAACATACTTAATTCAGTTGGATATAAATAAAAAAACTGCGCCCAACGTGGGGCTCGAACCCACGACCCTGAGATTAAGAGTCTCATGCTCTACCGACTGAGCTAGCCGGGCTTGATGCTCTTGTCTTCATTTTGCTGTCCTTCAACAGTAATGAGCATACATTTTAATACTTTTATTGTATAAATACTTAAAAAAAAAGGTCACAATTACTGATGTTTTTAGAATTGCTATATTCAATACACTTATTGACATACTACAGTTACATCTATTAATCTCAAAAACCAGAAGATTAAATTAATGATAAGATAATTAATGAATTCAAAAAAATCAAGTTTATTGCCTACAATTTCGAATAGGAATTTCAAACATGTATAGTATTTGTAAAAGTAGTAGCTTGCTCTATTTCGTAAAATTAATATAAATATTTGGATAGTTAGGAAAACCTCCAGCAAAATGTGTAATTTTCGTTAGGAAACACACATACGAGGTAACTTTAAATATGATTTTGATATTTGTGATGATTAATCGTTGCCAACGTAATAAACGTAAGTTTACGCAAAAATTTGAAGCGACGAAGTGCACCCCTCCATGCACCGAGGGTGACTAACTTAGAAATGCAAAATTCCATTGTTATAAACTTGTTCGAGGCTCCTGGTTGGCTGCTACTGTCCGCGCCAATACAGTAGCCAATAAAAAATTAGGTCAACTACTACACGTGCTACTTTGGAATGCGGTTGTAAATAAACAAAACAAATGTTCATTCACCTTTCGTTAGGCGCCACTTGAATTTTGAAAAGAGATAACTCAGGCATTTTTGGGTCGATTTGAAGGCGGTTTTTACAAAAGTGTGACAAATTTGATAAATACAATTCTTGTGTACTGCTCAGTATAAATTATTAAACATTACAGCTAATAATACATAAAAGAGAAATAAAATATTAGTTTAAAATAAGTAATTGTACATTTTAGAGAAATTATTGCAGACATTGACTAAATATAAGTTTTAGAATAAGGGTTTAATAATACTGTTCGGGTTTGGTATAGTTTTACATTGAGATGAAACTTTTTTAGGTCTTATAAGTTTACAAATATTCCATTTACATTTTCTTGAACATAAACAACAATTGGACTTGGCCTATAACGACAGAGATATCGGACAATTATTCATAGTTGGAATAATCTGTGCTATTTTGGGTGGAACTGGATTTTTAGTCCACACTTCGTATGAAATTGCAACGCGAAAAGGTGAATATCAATAGTAGAATATGCTTCTGAAAGGGGTTGTAGATATTTTAATTGATAAATTGATTTTTGGATCTCTCTGATCAAAGTCATTCAATGCTATTTTTATAGGAATATCTCCAATTGCAAATAATGAAATAACAAGTATAATATGGTCGTTTATGGTGTTGAAAGTTAGCGTTGTTTTGGCTTTAGTCGCCAGAAGATATCGAAGAAATACTTCAACAGAATTTATTGTGCCGCAAAATGTGGAAGCCTCCGGTTAACGTCTCTTTTCTTGTCTTTGACTTAAATCAACGCGTAATTTAATAATTAATTATTTTCGTTTTTCATGATACTACCTAATTACATTTTTTTATTGCTTAAGTACTACGTAAGTATTATTTTTTCTTCGTTTTGAATGTTTGCTAGTTATACATTACATACCATAGTACATATATTTGTTTTCCGAATAAAATAATATTCACAATTATTTTTTTTTCGTTTTAAATTTCCCAAACTTTTTCATCCCTAAACAGCGCCCACATGTTCGCAGAGGTATAATTTGTTTTATGGAGGTTCGCTGTACAATACAATAGATACAATTTATAGGGGTAGTCGGCAATTGCCCTTATACTAACCCCTAGCTAGTTGATTAAGGGATGGTTAATTTGCCGGGTTACTGCTGAATTTGAATTGGTAATTTAGAATGTCTGATCGTTGACCTAGGACTGCGAACTAAAATTACACCATTCTTTTTGTTAATATTCGCCTAATTAATTTACGTTAGTAAAATTTATTACAGACAATAAGTGAAACTGATAAATGTTTTATTTAATTTTATATAATTTTACATAAATATTTACCAAAAGCAAGCTTCAGTTAAAAATTAATAAAAAAAGACCCGTGTTTTAATTAAAATCAAGTAAAAAATGTTGCTACGTTGAAGAATTTAAGCAGGATATGAGTTGGATTACGAAAAAATTCGATTAAAAAAACGAATCTCTATACCTTTAATTTTTTAATCCGTCTGGTGACTACAAAAACACGATTTCAATATTCAGTATCAATATACTTTCCACAAGACCTGTAGAAAATAAAACATTTTTCCAAAAATTAATTAGTTTTTTGAAATATGTGCTGTAGAAGTATTAAGTAGACACCTACTGAAATAGAAATATACAACTTCGAAATAAAACTTACTGGCTAATTTAAGTACGTAGACACAGTCTCAGTCTACGAATTGAGTAGACAGTTTCACTTAAATCAATGTAATGTGGTTGTTTTTTCATTAGATGTAAGATTACGTTTAACTTAATGATAGTCTTTAACTTTTAATGGTAATTGTAGTCGTCTGTTACAATCGATAAACGTATAATTTACTCTAAAATTTCAACCGAGAAGTATTTATTCGTATTAAATTTTTTGCTAACGTTGCAATCTTTTATATATCAGAAATGGATTAGGTACACGGCAGTGCCGAGTAATTCTACCAGAGAAAAAAGAAAAAATAAACACCAGCAATAATAATTTAATATCTAAGTATAATAAAAAAGCTACATGATTAAAATTGGAATTAAGATTGTATTGGGACGGGTCGTTTGTTCTAATTTGTATTATTTATTGATTACTAATCTAAATTATTTGATATTTCGATATAGTTCTTGTGTTTACTTTTTCTCATGCATAAGAATACGGCCGAACTGTTACAATTTCTGTTGCTTGTTGGTACAACCCTAGAAATCGGTTCATATTCTTTAAGGTCCTTTTTAGACCAACCGAAATCCTTACTCGTTCTGAATTAGGAAATCGAAGAAGACCCTAGTTAGAAAAATAACGCACTTCCCTATTCGTAACTAACTAGGAGTACCCGAATTATGACCTTAATTAGCCCGACTAGAAAATTATTTTGGTTTGTCTAATAACTGATGCTTAGAAATATAATTGTGTTTTAATTAGAGCCTAAAAAAAGCCAAACATTAGTGAAAATGAAAATTTCTAATCAGGTCCTTATGAAAAACAAATCCCGCACCTATATTATCCTAACGCCCTTTACTTCTTCTTAAAACTTTCTTACGTAATACAATTCATATTATATCACTATTAATACAGTGCACCTCTCCATGCACCGAGGGTAACTAACTTAGAAATGCAAAATTCCATTGTTATAAACTTGTTCGAGGCTCCTGGTTGGCTGCTACTGTCCGCGCCAATACAGTAGCCAATAAAAAATTAGGTCAACTACTACACGTGCTACTTTGGAATGCGGTTGTAAATAAACAAAACAAATGTTCATTCACCTTTCGTTAGGCGCCACTTGAATTTTGAAAAGAGATAACTCAGGCATTTTTGGGTCGATTTGAAGGCGGTTTTTACAAAAGTGTGACAAATTTGATAAATACAATTCTTGTGTACTGCTCAGTATAAATTATTAAACATTACAGCTAATAATACATAAAAGAGAAATAAAATATTAGTTTAAAATAAGTAATTGTACATTTTAGAGAAATTATTGCAGACATTGACTAAATATAAGTTTTAGAATAAGGGTTTAATAATACTGTTCGGGTTTGGTATAGTTTTACATTGAGATGAAACTTTTTTAGGTCTTATAAGTTTACAAATATTCCATTTACATTTTCTTGAACATAAACAACAATTGGACTTGGCCTATAACGACAGAGATATCGGACAATTATTCATAGTTGGAATAATCTGTGCTATTTTGGGTGGAACTGGATTTTTAGTCCACACTTCGTATGAAATTGCAACGCGAAAAGGTGAATATCAATAGTAGAATATGCTTCTGAAAGGGGTTGTAGATATTTTAATTGATAAATTGATTTTTGGATCTCTCTGATCAAAGTCATTCAATGCTATTTTTATAGGAATATCTCCAATTGCAAATAATGAAATAACAAGTATAATATGGTCGTTTATGGTGTTGAAAGTTAGCGTTGTTTTGGCTTTAGTCGCCAGAAGATATCGAAGAAATACTTCAACAGAATTTATTGTGCCGCAAAATGTGGAAGCCTCCGGTTAACGTCTCTTTTCTTGTCTTTGACTTAAATCAACGCGTAATTTAATAATTAATTATTTTCGTTTTTCATGATACTACCTAATTACATTTTTTTATTGCTTAAGTACTACGTAAGTATTATTTTTTCTTCGTTTTGAATGTTTGCTAGTTATACATTACATACCATAGTACATATATTTGTTTTCCGAATAAAATAATATTCACAATTATTTTTTTTTCGTTTTAAATTTCCCAAACTTTTTCATCCCTAAACAGCGCCCACATGTTCGCAGAGGTATAATTTGTTTTATGGAGGTTCGCTGTACAATACAATACATACAATTTATAGGGGTAGTCGGCAATTGCCCTTATACTAACCCCTAGCTAGTTGATTAAGGGATGGTTAATTTGCCGGGTTACTGCTGAATTTGAATTGGTAATTTAGAATGTCTGATCGTTGACCTAGGACTGCGAACTAAAATTACACCATTCTTTTTGTTAATATTCGCCTAATTAATTTACGTTAGTAAAATTTATTACAGACAATAAGTGAAACTGATAAATGTTTTATTTAATTTTATATAATTTTACATAAATATTTACCAAAAGCAAGCTTCAGTTAAAAATTAATAAAAAAAGACCCGTGTTTTAATTAAAATCAAGTAAAAAATGTTGCTACATACATGTATGTACGCTACCTACGTATAAATAATTATAAAAAATAGAATATTACTATTATTACTGACGAGTGGAACAAGAGAAGTTGCTTTTGTTGATAATATTTATTATATATTATGAATGTTAACGTATTAAATATCAAATAAGCTAGTGTTTTTACATATCATCTAGTAGGTAGCTAAATAGTAAATGAAAATGTTTTCGACGGGAATATTATGTAAATATAAACACAATCTTCCCCCTCACTTGATTAAATTATCCACCTTCTACAGGTCTAGAACAAGTAGCTAGTTAAAATTAGTTAAGTATAAAGTGAAATTGTAACGTATATGATAAATAACAAAAAACTAGAGCGTATTGTAGAAATTGTACATAAACATTACTGGGCACTTCCAAGCGTTAAAGTGCCTATTGCATTTTTTTTATCCCAATGTGATATAAACCTTAAAATAAGCAAAGCCTGCTGTGTAAACACCTTTAGTTTTTAGGATGTAGCATTATCGTGAGATAAAAGTTGACCCACTTTACTTAAAAATAATTAATAAAACGCGCTAAAAAAAAGCCCGTAATAATATGACCTTGAATTTGGCTTTAAATGGCCAAACTTTGAAAACCTTGCATGAAAAAATCAGTGGGAAGGTGTTTTAAACAGATAAAACCTTTCTATTGCTGTAAGTCGTACCTATTTAGGTTTATATTCCTGCAAACTAAAAGAAAGACATCGTAATGACAACAGTCACTTCTTTCTTGTTGTATCTCCTACCATAATCTCATAGTCCAGAAGAAAGAGATCAGTGTTTTAAACATGTTTTTTTATAAATAAATACTTTTCGGTTGACAGTTGTACTAAAATTTTACTCTCAACGCGAGAAAGGCTTTCCAATAAGTAAAGAACAAGTAACAACCAAAAAATGGTTTTATTTTGTGGAAAAAGACAACACGGAGAAGACACGTCATGTAAAGACCTAGGTGTAATTTACCGAAATGGACGATTTTAAATATCTCTCTCTATGTTTTTTTTCATTTACCTAAGTTTTTCATAAT